ATTATTACTGCTATTTGTGCATTGTGTAACAAAGGCACAGAGGTTCAATGTTTCTCACGGTTACTTTTTTCTTGCTCATTCTACCCATATAAATCGGCAATAAAGTGTACAAGTCTGCAAGTTCATCCACACAAGATACATTCCTGTCTTTCATATCACTTTTTTTGGGCTGACAATTTTATCTCAACTGTATTAAAGGGATATTGTGAACTATTTTTTGCCTTACCTCTTACAGTATGTACTCTCTGGATACAGTACCTTGCTCTAAACAGATCCAGAGTTTCCAATACTACTGTACTTTACATTGGCATCCTCTGCTTAATTGTATATTTTTCCAAATAATCTAAAGCAAGATTTAAAGTACAGTTTTGTAGTGCAGAGATCACCAAACTCTAAAACTGAGTGGCCGAAAAAAAAAATTAACACTTATCTCAGCAACTTTCTTTCCTCTATGGAAGGTGAAGATCATGTCAATGTGTCTGACAGCATTGTAGGTAGCATAGATTACCTAATGGAATATGCATGCTCATTTTAGATTTATACTTAAACCCATAATCCTGAGAAAGAGGGAGGTAGGTGGAGACAAGATGTTGGTTCTTGCCTAAATCACCTCAGAGCATTGGGGAATTAACTCCCCCCTCCTCAGTCACCTGACCAATGGAGGTACACAACTGGTTTGATGACCGTTAAAAACCAAGAAGTAGAGACTGCCATTGGGGCCAATACCCTCTGCTGTCCAGCGGGAGAGCAAATCCTCTGAATTTCCCTTTGCCAGAGAAAGAAGAGGGTAAGGAAGTGACTGATAGACAAGCATGGGGCGTGTCGTGATCTCTTCTTTTGGAGTTGGTAAGCAGCTTAGTTGCTTGGATGTATTCATAGAGATGCTACTGAAAAGAATATTAGCAAGAGCTCAGAGAGAAAAGTGTTTATTTCGGGTCCGTGTAGGTTTACACTACTGTATATTCTCATATGAAAGCACCTGCCTATGAAAGGATCACTGTTACAGTACATTTCCCATGAGTCTGGCACACCTGATTGCAGCAGATACAACATGCAAAACTTATTGGATACTCTACAATACTTATTTTGCAGCTGATGATTCTCACTCAATAGAGAAGGAAAGGGATTTTATATTTCAAGAATTTCTACCATAGGGTCATTGAAGTGCATTTTGTTTTTGATGGTACAGTATTTAAGCTTCAAGTTAGCTGTGTGAAACAA